GCGTGGTTTATAGCTAAAAAATACCTCTTGAATATAAAAAATAAGAGAATTACACTCAAAATGCTATGATCGTAGCCATAGGGGGTTTTGAATTTATTCCCCCCCCCAACCCAACAGCGGGGTTTGTAGCTAAAAAAAATACCTCTTCAATATAAAAAAGCAAGTTACACACTCAAAATTCTATGAGCGTAGCCAAGCCAAGGGGGGTTTTGAGTTTAAACCCCTTCCTCAAGAGGGCTTTTTTCAAAGTTTAAAACCCCACCTGATGGTTTTGAGTTGTATTGTGCAGAGAGTTTTGAGGTTGAAAACCTCTCTCTTCATTTTATTCTAAAGCAAACTAGTCACCTAATTCTATGACTGTAGCTTAATGGGGTTTTGAATTGAAAAAAAATTCCACAAAGTTTTTAGTTTACTCCCCCCTCCCAAATGATTTTTACGATAAATTTCCCTTTTTGATATAAAATCTAAAGCAAACTACAGTCACCTAATTACAAGAGCGTAGCCAAGAGAGGTTACAAATTTGTACCAGTGGCTGGGCTCCATTAATAAAGTGAAGTGAATTGTCATCTGCCGAAATTGAAAAAGTCTAAATGTAGCTCAACAAAGATGGCTAAGACGGATTTTAGGAGTCAGTTATAGAGGGTCTCAATCAAGGAAATCCTATGCCTAACTAGGAGTTGACCCTTATTAAGGTTGTGTCAGAGCGTCGCATGAGGTTTTGAGGGACATGAGGCCATTACGAGGAAAGCGCAAACAGGGACATCCTACTACAACCTGGCGCCACACTTTCATGGAGGTCCTCAGAGCAGGTGGGAAAAGGCTTCAGACATTGTCAGTGACAGGTTTTTGTGAAATCAGCTTGCTTCCCAAATGTGCCGAAAGACGCTGGAGGATCTAAGTCAGTAAGAATAGCACATAATATTTTTGAAATAAAACTTTTTACTAGCAGGGTAATACACTGTAGGTACCTCAAAATATACATTTAATACCGGAAAAAGTGCTTGCTGGCAATGGCGGGGAGTTTACAATTTTTCCACTAACTCAGGAAGAACCTATTTTATGGTACAATAATCGTCTTCCGAAAGAATGAAGGGATTAAGTACACACACACATACGCACACATGAAATAAAAAATCCTGGCTACGCCCATGCATAGAGGTACGAATATTTAAGCACAAGAAAAATTACGGTACGTATAGACGTGGGCAAAACTTAACACTCGTTCTAGAATCTAGACTTAATTTAGCAATTTTTTAAAGGACATCACCATAGGACGCTACCCCGTCTTTGTCTTAGATCTGTTCTCAATACGTTTGTTCAATAGATGGCACATGCTTTTTTTTTTTACAAAGCTTATATCAACTCACTCTGTCTGTCTGTCTGGTAAAAAAGTTGTACATGTTATTTCACCCTCGCCCAATCTAAGATTGAGTTGAAATTTTGCTCAATTATTTCTTTTACATGCCAATACAAAATCAATTTTAAAAAATTAACTAATAAATTAATAATAATTGTTTATTGTAACTTGAACAAGGGATAGAAATCGTACTTGATAGATGTGGTGGTATAAGTTGAATAAGGATTGAATTTGATTTTTGGATAATATTATTAAAGGACCTTTTGAATAATGTTTTACTTGAAATATATGTTTTACTTGAAATATATACTAATATGGTTCCGCAAGGTTGTTAACGCCGGAAGTGGTAATGGTCTTAAGCCCATCATTACCTACAAAGTGCTTCCAATGGCATGCGTCTCAAATAGCCTCTGACAACCAGTCCAACTCCTGGCCTTCACGCGTGGCTCAGTTACTGAGCCTGGCGGAACCGTTACCACAGACAGTAGAAGGGGCAAAGGCGAGCAACTGGCGCCTAAACCAGTAAGCTTCGGGCAGAAGGTGCTCGTTAGCCTTGGTTGGCTACCCATCTAGGAGAAGGAAAACTCTGAATCCAAACCTCCGTGGCCTTGCGGCTATACCCAAACACGGGAAAGGCTTCCGGAGACAACCCTGAGGAAAAATCAGGAGCTGGTGACCCTTAGGCAGACTGTGGCACACCGTTCTACAGCCTGGCAGATCCTGCGGCACTACTGATCCCAAACTGTATTGGATACTCTGTTCCTTTGGTCACATCAGCTGCGCGGAGAGGGGGGAACTGCTGTGTGGGCGACATCGTTCCGACCATAAACAATGCCCAGGCTTTCATCTCACTTATTCAAAGCCCTAACCCCAAAAAACTGGAGAGGACACTCCAGCTTCGCCTTTGGCGTCGGCCAAACACGGGAAGTGGCAGTCACCGGTTATAAGCTCAAATGCTCAATTGACGTAGAGCAGGGCGCCAGGGGCCACTTTCGTCGGTGGAAGGGATCCTAGGATTCCAATGGACAGTTACCGCCCGCCTCAAGCTGGGCAGCCCCCAGCCAATAAGGTGCTGTCCCGTCATGCCTGTCTTCCTCGTTTGGGTACACGAGGATAGGACAAAATTTGAAAAGCAGGCACAAAGCCAATGTACCAGTCGACATGAAGAAAAAAAAGAGGAGCTCCACTCTTAAACTGGGCACGTGTAATGTGCGTACTCTACAAACTGGACTTAATGAAAACCTACCAGACATAGAAGATGTCAGAAAATCTGCAATAATAAACGATGAACTGTCCAGGCTCAAAGTAGACATTGCCGCCCTTCAGGAAACTCGTTTAGCTGACTCTGAATCAATCAAAGAAAAAGACTACTCCTTCTTCTGGCAAGGCAAAGCTGAAAGTGAAGTAAGGGAACATGGCGTTGGTTTTGCAGTTAAGAACACACTGCTGAACACAGTAGAGCTGAAGTGCAACGGTTCAGAAAGACTCCTATCACTACGCCTTAACACATCTATTGGGCATGTGACTTTGATATGTGCCTACGCTCCTACTCTGAGTTCCACACCAGAGGCCATAGATATGTTTTATGACAACCTTTCGTCTGCTCTTAGCGAGATCCCAACTACGGAACAGGTTATCATCCTCGGCGACCTCAATGCACGCGTTGGATCTGACAACTCTGCATGGGACAGCTGTATTGGGCGTTTTGGTGTCGGAAAAGTAAATGAAAATGGACAAAGGCTCCTCGAGGTTTGCTCACTACACTCCCTCTGCGTCACTAATACCTATTTCAAGACTAAACCGCAGCACAGAGTATCTTGGCGGCACCCTCGCTCCAAACACTGGCACCAACTAGACCTAATCATGGTAAGACAAAAGTGCTTAAAATTTGTCAAGCTGACCAGGTCCTACCACAGTGCAGACTGCGACACAGATCACTCCTAGGTATGTTGTAAGATCAATCTTCTCCCCCAAAAAATCCACCATACCAAGCAGATTGGAAGACCCCAATCGGATGTAAGCAAGATGTGTCACCCTGATCTCCAAATACAGTTTGCGGAATCTTTTGAACGCGAGTATAAAAATATCTCTGAAAATACAGCAACAGAAAAATGGGAACACCTCAAGTCCACCATACAAAAGACTTCCCTGGAAATCTTTCGAAGAAAAATTACAAAACAAAATGATTGGTTCGACTCTAAAGCAGTTATTTTAGCACCTGTCATCAGAGCAAAGAGAGATGCACTCGCTACTTACAAGGCAAAACCTACCCAACGCAACCTGCTAAACCTGAAAGAAGCTAGAGCCAATGCACAGAGGACAGCAAGGATCTGTGCCAATGAATACTGGGTAGAGCTCAGTGAGAGTATTCAGCTCGCAGCCCAAGTGGGCAACATAAGAGGGATGTACGAAGGAATCAACAAGGCTCTCGGACCCTCCCAAAATAAGACAGCACCTCTGAAATCAACCACTGGGGAAATTATCACAGACAAGTGTCAACAAATGCACAGATGAGTTGAACATTACTCTGAGCTCTACGCCACAACAAGCTCAGTCTCTGACTCAGCCCTTAAGGCCATCATACAATTACCCACAATGAACGAGCTAGATGAAACACCCACCCTTTCAGAGCTCAACAAAGCCATAGACAACATTACTGCCCGCAAAGCACCCGGCTGCGATGGTATCCCCCCAGATCTTCTAAAACAATGCAAAACTACTCTAATTCAACCTCTACACGAACTGCTTTGCAAATGTTGGCAAGAAGGTGCTGTGCCACAAGACCTGCGGGATGCTAAAATCATTATACTGTATAAGAACAAAGGTGACAGAAGCGACTGCAACAATTACAGGGGAATCTCCCTCTTAAGTATTGTAGGCAAAGTCTTTGCTCGAGTGATACTTCCCAGGCTACAAAAACTCGCTGATCGGGTCTATCCAGAATCACAATGCGGCTTTCGCTCAGGGAGATCCACGATTGACATGATTTTCTCCATCCGCCAACTCCAGGAAAAGTGCAGAGAACAAAGGATGCCTTTGTACATTGCGTTTATTGACCTGACAAAGGCCTTCGATTTAGTTAGCAGAGATGGCCTCTTTAAAATTTTACAGTTAATAGGCTGTCCACCCAAGCTACTAAATGTAATCATATCTTTCCACCAAAATATGATGGGTACAGTGCAATTCAACGGTGCCAGCTCTGAAAATTTCAATATAAACAGCGGAGTTAAACAAGGATGTGCCCTGGCCCCAACCCTCTTTGGAATACTATTTTCACTGCTAATCCACAACGCGTTTGACAAATCCACTGAAGGCATCTATCTCCATTCCAGATTTGATGGCAAACTCCTAAATATTGCCAGACTGAGGGCCAAAACTAAAATCAGATTCACCCTCGTAAGAGATATGCTATTCGCGGATGACGCAACGGTAGTGGCACACACACAAAAGGAACTTCAGTCACTAATGTCCCGCTTCTCTCAGGCCTGTAAAGAATATGGCTTGACTATTAGCACGAAGAAAACAAATGTTATGGGACCACCTGCTACAGCACCACCCTCTATCCTCATAGACGATAACAAGCTGGACGCCGTAAACGAATTCTGCTATCTGGGATCCACAATTACAGATGACCTGTCCCTAGAAGAGGAGATGAAAAAACGCATAGGGAAGGCTGCCTCGACATTCGCTAGACTCAGACCAAGAGTTTGGGAAAACCATAAGCTAACTACGGTGACCAAAATGGAAGTCTACAAGGCATGCGTTATGAGTACACTGCTGTATGGCAGTGAATCATGGACCACCTACGCAAAGCAAGAGAGAAAACTAATTTCATTCCATTTGAGATGTCTCCGTAGGGTCTCAGCCCAGGAAGAAAAACGCACAATCCGAAAAACGGCCAGCTCCTCTATCACCGAAGCAAAAGCCACCTTAACTTGCGCTATCTGTGGACGGGAGTGTCTCTCCAAAATAGGGCTCTACAGCCACATGAGGAAGTGTGCTCTGAGATGAACCATAGTCGTCCTACGACTGAAGGAGGCCAATGATGATATACTAATATGAATGTACAGGCCCTTACTACTTTGCAAATACAACCGATTTGTTCCTTGAAAAGATAAGATACCCAACATATTTAGATGTAGGCTTTGAGGATCGCTGCCGTTAAAAAAATTATTCGAAAAATAATAATAATAATTTTTTAAAAGCCAATGAAATGCCGGACATTTTCACCCATTAGGCCGGATGCAGGACACAACTTCAAAAACGAATGCATGTCCTCATTTAGCCGGACGTTGTGGAAACCTTAACTATAGGCTATATTCTTTCATATTGAATGTTTCAGCCAAGTTATTACTATTCCATTATATATATAGCTTTCTAATAAAAAATCCTTTAATATTATTTGTGTGTTACTATAAAGCCTTGACTAGATTGAGCGTAAGCCTAATGTTGGTGCTTTAGAGTTGTGTTTTTTTTTTCAAAATCTTCTTGTGGACTGGGTTTCCAGGCAAATATTTTTCACCCAGAACAGGGGTCTGCAACCTTTTGAGTCGCAAGAGCCAAAAATTACAAATCCAAACAATAAATAGTACTCGCATAAATTAAGTTTTTTGATTAAGATAACAACGAATCTGTTTATTCATAAAAAATATAGCTCTACTTATCTTTATACTTATTATTATATTATATTATTATTATACTTACTACTTATATATATATATGCAGTGCTTCTTTTGTGACGCTACGCACAGGTACGCGTACCGGCACCTTTTTCAATGTGGGGAAAAGTTATTACTTTTCTTGTGTTTTTGTGTTTTAACGTATATTTTAAAATTATAAGTAGTTAGAAATTAGGCAATCCATCACTGAGCACAGGAAACTATTTTGTTTTAGAAAAGCAATATATATATATATATAGATATATATGGTATTATTAGATAACTATTTATTATTTAAGTATACAATGTCAACAATTAAACATTTACATACAACACTAACTCGTACTTCAATAACAAAAAAATTGTGCAAACAAATCCAAGGGGAACTACGGCTTTGCGTGGTTTTAGAAAATCTCGATACATTTGGTTCATAACTTGTTTTTAGTTTCAAACACCGCTCTAAATTTTCATTTTTTTAAGTTTGCTTCTTACTTTATGTTTAATTATATTCATGCAAAAGAACGCTTGCTCGCACGAATATGTCGATCTGAAGATAGTCGGCCTTCCAAATGCCAACTTTTTCACCTGACTGTAGCAATCTGGAAGACAATTCTATGCGTCGAATATAAGTGCCTAATCTGGAGTCATTTCTTTTAAAGCTGACTACATTTGTTGTTGCATACATTTTTGGACCTTCAATTCTTCCAACTTGATTTTCAACTCTTCAACCCCACAAAACTTTAATTTTAAAATCGATCAATTGCATGTCTAGAGATCTAGTAACAACTTCAAATGGATCAATGTGGATTTCGTTACTATTTATGTTGAGATGATTTTTAATAAATGCAAATGCACAATTGTTTTTTGTTTGTTTTGAATTGCTCAAATCTGTCAGCAAATTCATCTTTAATTTTTCTTTTTAACTGTTCTGAAGTAACTCGTGTTAACAGTTGCACTGGTTTTATCGCAATATGGCTTTACAAATTGAAAATTAAGTAATTGACCGCTCTGAATATCTTCTGCAAAATATTTTTTTCTTCAAAACAAATCAATTCTTCTACCAAAAACTTGGCTGAGTTTTACTTTCCTTGCAGTTTAGATTTAGCTCACATAATTTTACTGTTATATCCATCATAAAGTAAAATCTGTGCAACCATTTATCGTTCTATAATTCAGAATGATTAATGTTTGTATTTTTCATTTAGAAATGTATTCATTTCATTCAAACACATCGCAAAACGTTTCAATACCATACCTTTGGAAAGCCATCGCACTTTATTGTTAAGCATGAGGTCGGAATACTGAGTCTCCATTTTGTTAAAAATTCTTTAAACTGACGATGGTAGATTACTTGATTACCGCATTCATGACGTCAACTATTTCGGCCGGAGAGGTTTGTATACAAAGCGCTACTTCGTGTATTATGCAGTGAAACGTAAGAATTAGGTGGCTTAAAGTGCTCCACAGAATCGTAGTTGCCCCTTTATTTTTTCACTTTATACTTCTAGATCCATCAGTTGCTATTGAAAAGATTTTATTCATATTGATTATATTGTCTTCAAGGAATTTTTGCACGAAATTAGCAGTATCTTCTTCTCTAGTTTGTCATGAGGGTGGTAGCAATCCAAGAAGTTCTTCGTTTGGATCTTGGGAAGACATATATCTGACAAGAAGGTCAACTTGTGCCGTGTCTTTTATGTCGTAAGGCTCATCTATATCAAGTGATAAGGCAGAATAAAAGTTGAATATCTTCCACCAACAAATATGTTACATGTTACAAATGTTTTATTTTAATAAAATAAATAATATTTGCACATGGAGCTAAAGAGCAGCAGCTTAAAATCCAAAGAGCCGCATGTTGCCGCCCCCTAACCTAGAACCTTCAACTGAGACCGCAGCATCTAAGTATTTAAAGTTATCTTACACTATCTAGCTATTCATCTTCCGTTCTTGACGTTCTTTATTGTTAGTCTTTGATGAGAGTGCTAGGCTTTAAAGCGGAAGTAATTTCATTCTTTGCCTCTGGTAATAAACAAAGCAGGAATGTAGAACTTTAACCCTGAAAGTGTTGATCAAATATTTATAGAAATTATAATAAGGATACGTTCACTTTGTACTTTCTTGCCTGAGAAATAATGTAAAGTGCTCAACAATTTCTAAATAAGGTCATAAATAAGGTCATGAAAACACGGCAAGAGTATAAAAACAAGGGCCATAAATGAGCTATTTTTTTAACATGTGGAGTTTAAGTTATTTCTTTATTTTACACTCTAAAACAATCGAATAAATACAAATAAACAATGTCTTTAAAAGTCAGTCAATAATATAGCCGCAAAGTAGGACAAAAGTAAAATGCTTGTTGCGCTCTTATAAAGACTTTATAACATACTTGCGAGTTCTCAACAGCAGCTCGGCTTTCAAGAAGCTCTCAAATACATCACAGACTTTGAAGAACTTTAAAATATCTATGTACAAGTGGAAAATGTCGTTGAGTCACTTCTAGCGTCTCTAGACTTGTCGTCACGTCCTGTCTAATTCTTTGTACTCTATTACTTACGAGATTTCTACTCATTAATTTATTTCTTAAATCTACTAACTACGTATCCAATACTATCCAAGCCATACGTAAAGAACCCCCTCCCAGACAATTTGAAGCATAGAGTAGATCATAAAGGTCATCAGTTTCTGTGACACAAGATATAGATTAACAATCTTTAAAAGTTAATCTATCTATAACATAAAGCCAAAGTAGGGCGTATGTTATGTATGAATGTAGGCTATGTCCTGCATAGAAATCAAAACCGTTTAACCAATCTTGATAAAAAGTGTCATAAATGTTCTTCAGATCATGGCATAGATTATTAATGTCCATACAACTGCCAGAGCGCCCTAAAACAAGACAAATTACCTAATTGTATCTCTATTCAAAAACTAAACTTTTTAACAAATGGGGTAAACCCATATTTAGAGTATGTTTAATTAAAAAATATAGTTAAAACTGGGCATCGATCTCGTCAGTTTCAAGAACGTAAGTTGTTTACAAATATGCCAGCGTGAAAAGCATAGTTTATGCGATTATTTATCTTTAATTGGATATCTAGATCTAACACTAGACTTTAGACATAGACTTCTGTTTTAGAACTTTTAAGATCTAGTCTAGGATATCTCCTTCTATATAACATTTACGTAATAAAATATTAGAAAAGCTTAGATAATACTTCAATAAACTTGTAAATATACTCACTATTGCTGACTACTAGTGCCTACGCCATGTTTTTTTTTCATTATTGAATTATTCCACTGATAAGCCTTTAATAAATCTAGACTTGGAAGACGATGCGCAAAACTTTAATTTAATATACTCTTGAATAAATAATGCCTTCATTTCGAAATGCCCCAACGCGATAATCTTTTCAAGAACGCCATAGTCTTTTCAAAACCGATAATTGATCTAGACCTAGATTTAGTCTCTAGCCAAATTTAAATTAATTTACTTTTTACTTTAAAAAATTATAAAAGTAAAACTAGAGTTTTCCAGATGTGGCCAACGAGCTAGTAATTTTTTTCTCAACGAAATAAATCAGCTATGGAATTTCTAGGAATATTGTTAGAGCCGTAAACCCATGAGGTTCCATTTATTTTTACAGATGAATGTGCAACCTGATTGGAGGAATAAAAAAAATCCTTAAAAAAACAAACAAAGCTTATCCAAGAGGAAGAACTATGTTCATACAACTAAATCACTCAAGAATGTAGAAGCTATTTCCCTTTCTGATGTAAAACAAAATAATTGATTACCAATAATTTTAATTTTTTGATTCATGTTTTCATTGATGAAAATAGTTCAAACCTTTTACTAGACAGATAGAATGATAGTCAGAGGGACAGGGAGTTGATTTTAATCTTTGTGGAGTTGTCAAGTTAAATACTTAGTAAAATGTGCAGCTGCTGCCCAATAAAAAAAACAACGCAGTAATGCGCGCTTGCCTAATCCTCTGTTAATAGATTTATAGATCAGAAAGTAGGCGAGGTGTTGTGTGTTATTTAAAGCCGAGCGTTTAAAAGTAAAAAAATGTTTAGGTATAAATATTTGAAACAGGATATAGATCTCTTTTTTTATTTGCCCAATTATCACATGATTGGTTATGTAGTATCAATGTTTAGTTAATTATTCCAAATGTGTTGAAAGCTCAAGCATTTTTATTGTATTTAATATTGTCATTTAGATGTCTACATATTATTTTGTACACGATAGGGAATCTGCTTTGACATTGAAATGTATTTGTCTCAATGAGTAATGTACAAAAACTATTTAAATCATCCAGCTATTCATCAAACAAGGAGGTAGCCTGGAATATTGCTCAAGCCATAATTTAATAGCGTTAGTTCACGATAACGTTATGTACATACAAAATGTAGAGTATATATTTACATTGATTAAAATCTGACAAGACCGTATAGTATTATTACAGGCTTTAAGTATAACACTGATAAACTATTTACACTGATGTCTGTGACTGTAAGTGTTGGCAGGTAACTCAAGGAAAGGCAGACAAGGTAAATGTGGATGTCCATTTACACTGAATTCTCGTGACATTAAGCAGACAGAAACAAACACACAAAACTGATCACAGTAAAGAAGGGTTACTAGCAGAAGAAATGACCGACAGAAGCCGTTAGTAGGTTCAATATTTCTGGAAATACAGATGATTATAGGTGTTCTTTAAATGACGACAGTAATCATAAATAAAGTAAATGTATATGCTATAGGGTCTAAAATTATGCAAGAAGCCATTGATATTTATATCTACATATTGTTGTAAGTTCATCACTCTACCTGCACTACAAGTTGTGCACTGTTAGTAGCTTGACTGGAGATAAATGTTGATATTGGAGAAATACAACGGAGTTCAGCCTCTGTCGATGGGTTACAAAGAAGCTGTGTTAAAGACAGACTGTTAAGATCTATATTCGTAATGTCACATTGATGAAGAACTGTCCTCGCTGAGTTGCCTCCCTTTATTAATGGAAGGCGTTTATTGAAGACGTTGGCTGTTAGATAAGACGCCAAGACAATTGTACCGAGAGTTAGATAGACTTTAATTATTTTAATCTTGGCATGTACCCGCAGCTTATGATTTATGATTGGAGATCCTTAAAGTAAATTTTTTTTTTCAAACAAGAATGGGTCCCTATAAGGCAGGACTCAAGAGGAATGGGCGTCACTTTACAAAAGAATAATTCAAAAACAGCCCTAGCAAGACGTTAAACCTGTAGTATTTTACTTTCTATGGAGTCCGCGCAAACCATTTAAAAAAATTAACACCACACTTCTAGTACCAAGACATCAAACTGTTTAAAAAACAAAAATAATCCTAAGCAAGACTGTTTCAACATCCAGGCTTCAGAACAGTCCCAAGCAGGAAACTAAAGTTTTGTTAGACCAAAACAGTCCTTAGCAAGACATCAAACTGCTTGCACATCATTCATAAACAGTCTTGAATAAGACATTAAACTGCTTCAACACCCAACATTCAGAAACAGTCCTGAATAAGACATAAAACTGCTTTAAATCAACACCCATCATTCAGAAACAGTCCTGAATAAGACATTAAACTGCTTTAAGTCAACACCCATCATTCAGAAAGTCCTGAATAAGACATTGAACTGCTTCAATAGTCAACATTCAGAAACAGTGCTGAACAAGATATTGAACTGTTTTTACATCAAGCATTAAAACAATAGTGCCGAGTAAGACATAGCACTTTACGTCGGTACTAGGACACTGCTATGGCTTAAATAGAGATGAAGTTTGTCATTTTTTCGAATGTCGCTGAGGTAGGTCTATCAAACAAAAAAGATGTAGAAACAAGCTTCAAACGAGGGCAATACAATGGAAGCTATATTATAATTATCTTAGCTACAGGGTCGGTCTTAGGCCAGTGCAACATATGCGGCCGCAGTGGGCCCCGCCTTTTCATAGCTACGCGCGAATTCTATGTGTAAATGATTAAATTAAACCATTTTAACTTATTAATAAAGGGTTCCTGGAATCTGAAATTGCAAAATATACGAAAAAGTCTTGAAAATCTCCTGAAATTATTAAAATATTCTGAAAACTTATGCAAATCTTATTAAAAACAGACAAATTTGTCAATTTGGGGTGTTATTCAATATGTAAAACGCCAATCCTACTCGTGATTAAAAAAAACAGCATAGTCAGCTTTCATTTAATAAAAATATAATAATAAGCCGAATTCTAACCAAAACAAGAAGTTCAAATACTTAATTTACTTTAATAGTCACTGGCATACAAATATAGATTTAAATCTATCTCGACCTCTAAAAAAAAACAAAAGCGATATTTTGCTAGTGGATAGTAAATCTAAAAGGCAGATGTAAATGTTTATCGGCTTTTGTTGGAAAACTACTATCTTCTTTAGATGGCTCGTGAAGTTAATTTGACAGTGATTTTGTACTTAGTAAAGTATGAATAAAATGCAAAAACGAATTTATTTTCTAAAACAAAATCTTAATTTTTACTTATTATCCTGATCCCTACTCAGACTGGACCCCGCGCAATCCGTTTCGCATAGGGCCCCGCAATCTGTAGAATCGGCCTTGCTTAGCTAACTATTCGTGATGCGTACTTCTAAGCATTTTTAACTGCCCCAATTCTGGAAACGTCGCTATTGCTTTTATCTGGTCTGTCAGTTAATCCCATTTAGATCCCAGAAGCTAGAAAAGATATTGAAAATCCGATATCATGATATTTTAGATCTTGCAAAGTTCTGGTGTAATCGATACTTTTTGTTTTCTGATAATTATTCAAAGTAAATATGTAAGCAGTTGTTTTTTTTTCATAAAAATACATTACTTTTTTTAACGAAAAACCTCAGGGGAGGTAAGCTTTCATAATAGGCTACTTAGATGGGGATACAAGTTTACAAGTACAAATCCCGACTGGATCAGAAATATTTCTTTTCACAAAGCTTATATCACCTCGGTCTGTAAGCTTATATCACCTCGGTCTGTAAGCTTATATCACCTCGGTCTGTAAGCTTATATCACCTCGGTCTGTAAGCTTATATCACCTCGGTCTGTAAGCTTATATCACCTTGGTCTGTAAGCTTATATCACCTCGGTCTGTAAGCTTATATCACCTCGGTCTGTAAGCTTATATCACCTCGGTCTGTAAGCTTATATCACCTCGGTCTGTCTGTCTGGTACAATTTTCGTACACGTTAGTTCTTCCCTTATCTCACTCTCGGATCAAGACGAAATTGTACACAATTATTTTTGTTTTCAACAAAGTAGGAATGATTAAAAAAATAACCAAACAAAAAATGAATTAGTGATAGTTAGTGAATACAGTTTTAAGGGATAAACATTTTAGAGTACAGATAGAAATAGCTCTAAATAGTGTTTTACCCTTAGACAAGCTTTGTTTGTGTTTTTTTAAATTATGTTTTTAATATTTTGCTTGTTTAAAAATTTCTGTTGTTGGTATGACAGCTCGGAAACCTTCCCCCAGATATTTTCACTGACCCATAATTAATAAAAGATTGGAGTATTTCTGAAATCATAATGTTTTTGCTGTAGAAAAGCAATTTTTAAAAGTCCAAAACACACCAACTATATCTTTGTATGACTAGATCTAGTAGTAGCGGAGATATTCCTTTTTCAAGTGCAAAATTTATTACCCAGTGTTCAGGCAGTGGCGTGCCTTTAACTTATGCAGGGAACAATATTAATCCCCAGAAAGTCTCAAGTAATCTGTATGTTTTGGCGGCCAAAGTAAGATGAAATAGTTTTGAGTCATCTGTCTGTCAGTTCGTTGCGTTTTGATAGTAAAATCTAGAAAAGCTATTGAAAAGCTAAGTTCTTTTATTTTTTGGGCAAAAAAAATATACACAAGTAAAATATCTTATTATCGATAATAGATTGTTTAATTTGTTTTCAAGTGAAAAAAAACGGGTTAAAAATTTTATACTTTACACAATCAAAACAAGTCCATGCCTTATTCCAGTCAATTGGCGGATCTGGTGGGGGCTGCCTCTGAGTTTGTTAAAAAAAACAACAACTCATGCAATCTTGTTTATTTTTTTAAATATTTGTATGCTAATTATTTTAAATTATTTAATTAAGTGTTATTATAGTAATTATTCATTTCCTTAGTACTGTAAATATTAGGGGAAGGAGACACGTGTAACGGTCCTACAAATCTGGTAGACTCGTTCTAAATATGTCCGATGAAAATGTTTAAAATTTTAAGTGTTTGCAAACTATCAAACTTTAAGACCATAGCTTGCACTGTTTATCCACCCCACCTCTATTTATATTGTAGCTATTTAAAATTGACCAATTTACCACGAAGTTTATTGATTGGATGTAAGCTCCTTGTAGAAAATCATGACTTTATTGAGCGTGAAGCATATATAAATTATGAGAGTAAATATTTTAGGTCCTCAATTTGAATATTATTTCGACCCCACTGAGAGTAAAACAGAAACAAGAATTCCAAAAACAATGTCAAGTCTTGGACTATTTGCATCTGAAATGTAAGAAAATACAAATAAAATAGTCTTCTAACAATGACAATATGTAGTATTGTTTTGTTTGGATAGAAAATTGATGGAAATCATTATATGTATAATAATTGCCTTTATGACAAAGTTTCTATATCGTTCTAATTAAAAGTATAACAACAAGGTGACTTTGCATGGCGTTAATTTAGACCAAGTTTGAT